GAACCAGAGAGGAACAGGCGAAATAAAGGTGAGAACAGATAATAGAAAACAGTAAGAAGAGACTTGTCTGTTGAAACGGCCACGTTTCCTTCAGTCCATGAAATGTCTTCATAATCGCCCAAATACCGCTTCAAGTACCTTGTCGGGCAAATCTAAGGTAGTCGTCAATAACCTCACATACATTCTACGTGTACTTCGTACGCTTTGCACGAAGTATAGTATTTCGGGATTACGTGAAGAAACGGACTTCCAGCACTCGCATTCTCCCCCGGAGCTTTCCGTTACATACGATTCTCCACCACACACCTTAATTTTCGACGTCTTGTACCTCAACAACAGCGTGATTTAAGCATACGACGCCTCTCCACAGTCACCCGCCCCCGGCCCACAAGCTAACGGCCAACATCCTAGCATGATGTCGTCATCGCAGACCCAACTGGAAGGCACCCCACCCAGCTAGCGCATAAGCAGGGGAAGGACGCGAGTCAGATTGAGACTCGCAGTCTCGTCTGCTAATTACCTTAGGTACTCCGTAGAAGAACCACCATAACCGCAGCACGGAGGGGAAAATGATTCGAGGCGTAACGCCGGCTTTTGTCCGAAGAAGAAGTACCTAATGTGGCCGTGCTACGTGCATATCTACGAAGTACAAAGTATGGTCTTTCTCAAGGTACCTCGACATCAGATGAATTAATAGATGCCGCAACGATCTTTTGTCAGCCGCCATGCTTTAACGAGGGGTGTGTGTGCCTGTCTGGCAACTTACCCCTCGACGGTCTGCGTCTACCCTTGCTCCTGGCGCTTACTTTATCTGCGTTGTATGCGATGTGACTGAACTCCTTTTAAAGGTCTTTTCGGTCTTTTCTTTTCCATTTTACACCCCTTCCCCCCACCAAAACAGCCGGGACGTCGAATTCAATGGCGACCGCCGCCGGCCGGACAGCTATGGCCTGAGACGATTATTTGCCGGAACACAACAACATACCTATTTTTTTGTCTTTACAAGCGTATATCACGTCGCGATCGAAGACCGGGGGAGCAAGTCGCACCCTTAGTTTTCACACGTCCTTGGCGCAGGTCCCGGAGATTACTCCGTAGAATCCTCTAAACGTATACGGAGTATGTAGGGACAATGTGTCCGCTCCAATCATATAAACACCTCCCGTTCAATGTTTCATTAAGCAATGGTACAAGTTGTACCTAAGGTATCCGCGATTTGGCGGTGTTTTTGCGGGAGCCAATTTCTTTCTCGGCACACCCACTAAGACCTTAACCCGTCCACCACACCCTGTCGCATGGACATTTATGACGTCAGTGGCCCTGAACACGTTGGCCAAGAGTCGCAAAAAAAGAACAAAGGACCGCCGACCAACACAATGCATACATCGTCCGATTAGATATGGGGAAGTATAGTTTTCCATCAAAAGGTGTTTTTGCTTTTTCCATTCCCGTCTTGAATCGTGACTACTATGTGCTCAATATATTTCTTCGCTGGTTGCACCGAGAAGACAATCGTCACTTACAAGGAGAGGAAGTCGAGGGTTTTGTAAGCAGGCAGCCTTAAATACTACTGGTGCCTCTCGAGATGTCTTGACAATTCTGGATATTGTGTCAAATCATAGGACAGTCCGAAGGCCAAATTGTGCGACCGGAGTATCTTCCGGATGCTTGAGAGGCGCTGAGCGTCTGTAAGTGACGTCAGAGGCGGCCCGCTTCGTTCTTCTCGGGCCCTATCCCCGAACTGGAGGTGCTACAAGTTGACTATCGCAGCCCTGCGAGTACCTGTATCCATACTCCCTCCCATGCCAAGGGACTTGCACACCGAACGACCAGTGACTGTGCGGGAATTGGATGCTCTTGTTTCGGTTGCATAGTAGTGATTGGAGCACCAGGAGAGCAGATGCGAGAAGCTGTCGCACGTCAAATAGCACTTGTAAGACAATTGTAGTGATAATCCTGATAGAGCAGAAATCTCGTGTGTGTGTATTATTTTAAGTTATATCTGTGCGAGTCTCTTATGCCCTTATTTGGGTAGATAATCCACTATATCTCTACTACCCAAAATTCCAGGTTTCTTAATATATATAAATAGATCCAAAGAAACAGTACGAGTTACCTCTAGCCTCTTAAAAAGCCAGCTACCTAGCTACTAAGCTACTATAAAACTAACTACTAGCTATAAAGCAGTTCGTAGTAATAGTAATAGCTACCGATTAATTAGTAGTAGTAATAGCAGAGTATATCTTATAGTTATAGTTGAAAAGGAGGAGTCTGTATAATAGCCTTAATAATAGGCTAAGGTAACCCTTATACTATTTCTTTAGATTATATTTATATATGTTGAGAAACCTGGGAAACCTACCTAATCTCAGGTAGTAGAGATATAGTAGATTATCTAATCCAAAAAGGGTTTAGGAAGACCCGGAAGACTGAACAGGGGGTAGCGGAAGACCGGTGCTCCTACTCCGTGCGTATCGAGGCATCTTCCCGGCACAGTACGAAGAAACGGATACCTTAACGATTTATTCTCAGGCAGGACCGGAAGCCATTAACTGGGTTTGTTTGGAATGTGAGTGGCCTCCGTTCAGCCGAACAGGAGGGTCATTGAATGGTTTGGAAGACTCAAGCTAACCATGGCGGCGGTAAACGTATTTTATCTTATATCCCATCGTAGCAATTAGTACAGTCCTAAGACTGGTTTCCCCTAGAACCAAAAAAAACTTGATGCTTGTCGCTCGGCTAGAGACTTCGGACATACCTACTGCAGTAGATATTTTAATTCGGACGCTACTTTAACGCGAAGCCTGCGTCATCAAAAAGGGCATGACAATGTCACCATACTCCGTAGGCATTTGTCCGTTGTACACTTTCCAGCGCCCAAGGGTGGAGCGAGGTATCTGCCGGCCTTCCTCCACAAACACGGCCCGGCTCACACCGCCACACGGAAAAGCAGTCTCGTCTTCCTCTTGACTACCGACTCCGTGTCGCATTTATGCTGGCGGTTCTTTCTAGTCGAATACATACCGTTCGAAATGGGATCCCAGTAGCTACTTGGGCTTACGGTTCGGCTTGCTATCCTAACCCCTTCGGGCTTAAGGATGACGAGTTAGGGGTCTACTTATCACTGTCCGTGTCTATCGGAATGTGCCGTCAGGGGTTAATATCAGCCCCCCAAGGGCCCAGGTGGATATTCCCCACCCCCTTATTATTTATCCTTTATAAACTTCGTAGCAGATTTCAGTTCAATTTCAGTGCAATGTCGTCACAATGTATTAATTACCGAGTAGCGACCTCTTACAGCACATACTTCAACGTCTCCAGACCCTTTTTTCTTTCTTTTTTCTCCACCCCAACGCTTTTCCCGGGGGAGGCTTTCCTTGTTCACCGAGGACTGCGACAAAGGGTTTGAAGACAAGAGGACTTGGGTCAAAGCACGACCGGAATAAAGACTTGATGAATCGAGGCATTCGATTATGCAAAGCAAAGCCGTAAAACGCTACCAGAGACACTCTAATGTTCAGGCATGAAGCTATGTCATCATCTTACCAAGAGGGCCCGTGACAGGAGCACGTGCCATCAATGGTGTCTTGATGTACAACACTCGACGGGCAGAGACCCTTCAAGGCTAGAGCACCTAACCTAAGGTAGCCGGAGGATTTCCCCTTCCGAGTTGCTTGACTGGATGGTTACAGCGTAATAATTAATGTGCAGGTTGCAATGGTACCTAGGTACGTAGATTTGGAGACAGGACGGTGCCAGTAGGTTATAAGAGGGGTGCTAGGGGCTAAATTGAGTTATATCCTGAAGCCTTTGTGAGTGGGGTGTTGTATTCAACCACTATCTTCCCATCGTCACATATGAAGCATACACCGTAAGGTGTCTTTGTTCTCTAGAATTTAAAGATGTGCGCCGTTGCTATTATTCCGTACCTATATAACTGTTTCGCGTACGTATAACACCAGAACATAACTAGATACAGTGTAGAATCAAAACTTGTAAGATGAACGATGTGTACTCTCACGGAGTACAAAATAAGGGCAGCCAGCGTATGACATACACGGTGGGGTGAAGGTAGGTAGGTAGTCGAAAGACCCGTCTCGCCGATACCTCAGGCCTAAGGTATTGCACTAACAATTTCTCTCAACCTTCTAAAAGGGGGGCTGTTGTGGGTCACGACTTGACGCCACAGGCCAGACCCTGGACTCTTGTGGAGAGGAGAAGGAGGAGGGGGCAGGGATGAGGGTACTCTCCAGTCGCAGCTATTATAGGTAGGAATACATGTATTCATCAACTCCTCTATCCTCAATAACGTGGAGTCTTGACGTGGTGCGGGAATCCCCCCCCATTCGCGAAAATACAACGGCGAGGTGAGCAGAAAGTATAGGTACAAGTTGATGGTCGCTTCGTCGCATGCTGTCGCGCGGAAATTCATATACCCTCTACGTTCGTCAGTGTCGGCCCTTGTCATGAGATCCCTTCCACTTACCTTACCTATCCGTACTTACCTGCGGACCTTACCCTACCTACCTATTTGTCTCTCCTCCCATTTTGCTACCTACCCTTCAGGTTCTTACGACAACATTTTCCCCTCAACATCACGGACAACCCATCGCGAGCTATACAAATGCTATAGAGGGAGATCCATCTCAGACTTCATCACAAGGTGGCACGAGCAGAAACAAAGCAGCAAAAGCGATCAGAATTCACCGCGCATTACGGGCACGACCTATTTCCAGTTCTTGCGACCCACGCGCCTTGTGACAACTAGACGAGCCCAACTCTTCTCCGTCGCCTGCGCCTGCGCCTGCGTCTTCGCCTTCGCCTTCGCTTGCTATTATCGAAGGTGGCCAGCCCGGACCTCATCATCTCGACCCCAGTCGACCGAAATCGACAACACTGCACTGGATCCGACTCGGCTCGAGCAAGTCGACCACAATAATGACGCGAGGGCCGACAATAGGGACAAAATCTTAACTATATCATCGCTACCAGGTCATTCGCAATATCGACTCACGGTCTAGGACATTCGTTTCCTTTAGCGACATACTTCCAGTCGTCTCTGTGACCTTTTTCAGCCCTTAACCACCACGCTCGCTTCCAGCCCCTTGAAAGACCAAAAGAATCCAAGTATATAATAGCGAGGGCTTTTTCTTTTCATTTATACCCTCTTCTCGCTCTGTTTATTATCTCGCACTGAAAACTGGTCTCTCATTGACCTTTATGTTTCCCACGATCTCGAACGGCATCAACTTCGCGGCGCACCGACAGCCTCCAAGCAAAAGAGGCCCCGAAAGTGAGCGCTTACATATCAAATAATCATTCACCATCTTGGCTACATAGGTAGCGACGATACATACACCCAAGTCGCAACCTATCCTTACAACGAAAAGCATCGCTTCTCCTTCTCGACAATACTACGTCGCCTCTGCCATTCACGCCCCATTGTACGGAGACTTGCTGGCTGGCCTTGCATAACCACACAACGACATTCTCTGGTCTCGTCTCAAGACGCGGTAGAAAGTCATAACCGTGGATTGAACCTGACCGGCCAATCCGAGGCGACGCCTCTCTAGCTAGTCACACACTGGCTATTACGAGCGATCCCTACGGCAGCAACTGATATTTAACGATCGGGAGACAGACGGCTTGGCCGTTAAGGGGACGCAAAGAGGCTCCCAGTCAAGTTTACTATACGCTACTTGGTTCTGTGTTACGGAAGGAGGAGCTCGTTGTCACTGGAACGTCTAGGACAGCCCCTTCCCCATGTTTCGCCAACGGTAAGCGTTGTCCGCCTTGGCGCCCTCATCTTGCCAATGGCCCAGTTGGCTCCCTGCGTTGAGTTGATTCGCAATATTGCATTTGTGGCGGGCCTATGCGCCTGTCTGCGCCATGGGCCCTGTCGCCATCCACCCCATGCAAACATTGCCAGAGCTCTTGCTAATTCTTGATATTTCCGTTTCTAGTACGAGTTCGCAAAAGCCAGGGGATGAGTTATTGGCCAATTTTAGAGAGCAGTTTCCAGAAGTCGCTTCGGCCACAGGTGCGCAGGCTCAGGCTAGTCAGCTCGCACCAGCACACAGCAATGCTGCTGCCCCCTTGGTTCTCGAGAGGTCCGTGATGGCCATCTCCAACCCTCCCGCCCATTCCGGGATTGGATAGCTCTTTGCTAACTTCCGACTTGCACCAGCAACAGCAACAACCATGATGCGTTTCGAGACCAAGATCCGACGCCGAAACCGTCAAACGACCCGTGGAGATTCACGCCGTCTTTGATGGATCCGAATTCTTTCTCCTTCGCCAGCTTTGCAAACGCACCCCCTGGGTATTATACTCCTACTCCCGGAGGTACGAACACCATCTACCACCCCCAGGCTGGTGACCTGCACACACCGAACATGGGGCCTTCCATGGGCCTCGGCACTCCTCTTTCGATGCCCACATCAGAGAGCGCCGCTATTCCTCCCACGGCCTCTATGATGGACATCTCTGGATTTCAGACACTGCAACCTCACCAGTTTGCCCCGTTCAACACGTTTATCCAGCCCCCTACGCATCAACCCACATTCGCGCCATCATCTTTCGTTCATCAAGACACGGGTTACGAGACCATGGAGCAAGATGGCTCGCCAATGGATTCCGGCCCCTCACCGGGCCAGATGACGTCTCTCGATGGCGCCTTGCACCACGCATCCCCCATGCTGGGCTTACAGAAACGCCAGTTCAATGGGCTGGCAATGGCTGCTCTTCTTCCAAGCTCAGCAGAGAAATTTCGCTTCCACGCGACACTGAACGCTCCCACCGCCATGATCAAGCATGCCGACGAGATTCCGGTTACCTATCTCAACAAGGGCCAGGCTTATTCCCTCTCCGTCGTAGACACCAATGCCACACTTCCGCTTCCCGCTGGAACCAAGTATCGCACCTACGTACGCATTTCATTCGAAGACGAACAGCAGAGACAGAAGCCGGGGGTTTGCTGGAGTCTGTGGAAGGAAGGGAGAGGAACGAACGAGGCGCACCAACGAGGAGGGAAACTCCAAGCTGTCGAATTCGTCGAAGCCAAAGATATCGCACGTGAGGGAGATGACAGGCGGACCCGGGTCGAGCTGGAGTCGTCTTCATTCGACGGGTTCTCGGTAACCTGGACACCGGGTGCCAATGGTAGCCCGGATTGCAACATCGCTGTCCGGTTTAACTTCCTGTCGACCGATTTCAGCCATTCCAAGGGTGTCAAGGGGATTCCCGTCAGACTCTGCGCCAAGACCAATCCCGTTACCGCCGATTCCGGACAGTCCGGGACAGATGGTGAGGCCGCCGAGATCTGCTATGGCAAGGTTAAACTCTTTCGAGACCACGGTGCCGAGCGCAAGCTCTCGAACGATGTGGCACATGTCAAGAAGTCCATCGACAAACTGAAGCAGCAGATTGCCCAGGCCGAGAGTGGGCTTAAAGATCCCACCAAACGCAAAAGGTCGGCTGCGTCGCAGATGAAGGTGGCAACAGGGGACGCGCGACCTGGGAAGGTGCAGAAGCACAAACGAACCTGGTCCATGTCTTCGGCTAGCTCCGCCGGTGGAGGCAACGGCGGGAGTGGCGGGGGTCGACCACCCATCGAAGAAGAGTTGCACTTTAAACTGCAAACGCTCCAGGACATGTTCACGAGCACTCGGCCAGTTAGCGTGCTGTATCTTCGCGGTGATGACTTGGATGACCCGGACGTTCATCCGGTATCACTGCCTGGGGAATCGAACGAAATGATGAAAGACGGGTCTCGGGAGGGTGCGCAGTGGCAGGCGCGAAGTGGTCGGAGCTCGCTCGCGGGATCTTCTTTAGTATCGCCGTCGCCCAGCTCACTTTCTCTTGCGTCTCAGGCCTCCGCCGCGCCAAATCGTCAATGGGCAGGTTTTGATGGGGAGGGTTCCGGAGAGCCCTCATCTCGTCAAGGATCGGCCCAGCCAACGAAGGTGGCCAAGCTGGACCAATCGGGGAACCTCAGTGGCTGGATCGAGGCTCTGGGCGTGGTCCCTACCTATCAAGCACCCCCTGAACGAGTCCCCAAACCGGTCGCTTGTTTTTACGTTCTCCGCAGGGAGCCGTCCAGCCAAGGGACACACGATCTATACAGAGCCATCTACCTGGCCCAGCGAACGCTCAAGGATTTCAACTTCCGCGTGGCTATGAAGTGGAATCTCGATCCGTCCAAGATTCTCCGGACTGTACACGTTCTCCAGCAGGGCCTCGAGATTGAAATGGACGACGACGTGGTTCGAGAGCTCAGGGAAAGCCAGGACATGGTGCTAGAGGTCGCCGAGGTGCATCCTGATGGTTCTGACCATGTCAAGCAGGAATGGGAGATGGCTGTCGATCCGTCCGATGCTGAATCCGGCTCCACAGCTACATCACGAGGACAGGCCGGATATGAGCTTCGGCTCATGTTCTAATACGATACGACTGTGTAATCAGGCCGACTTGCGGCCTCCCCGGCCTATCCAGCAGATCATCCTCCAAGAGGCAACGCATCGGCGCGCGTCCATAGTTGGTTAACATTCTTCTTCGTTGCTTCAGCGTCTCCGCACTTGCTTTCAAGATACCACCAACTTAGAGAGGTGCTGCCCCCCCCTTTTTTTTTGGTTTTGAGAGAGAGAGAGAGAGTTTTCTTTTTGCCCCTGTTTCCTATCCAATGTATGGGTATGCTTATGAACAACACATGGAGAACGTGATGGACGGTCAACGTGTTTTCTTTTCTTTTCTATTCCTTTCTTCTTTATTTTACCCAGTCATGGAGAGAGGCGAGCATCGGGCGAGGATGGGTCGTGGTAAAGAGACTGGTGTCGTCCAAGTTATGCATTCCCCCAAGTCACCGAGAGAGGCAAGTCAAACAGTCAACGCCAAAGAGAAATGAACAAGATTAAAAAGAAAGGAAAACGGACCTTTTCTTTCCTTTTTTTTTTATCGTTACATTACATTTGTCCTAATATCGGTAGACCCAGGCTTGTCAGCCCGGCCTGGGTTTTGTTTTCGTTCATCTATAGTACAGCGGACGGGCAGGGGGAGGTAAAAAGGTCCGTTTTTGAGTGTTTAGACAAGTGGAGAGAAAGAAGTTCGGAAGAGCAGGCGTGTGCAAGAGAAGCGTCCCGTCGTCGATAATAAAAAATACCATCACTTTCAATCGTACAGTGCTTTTCCCCGACCGCCACATTGGTTAGAACAAGCGCTTACTTCGTAGGCTCCCGATAGCAAACCCCTCCCTGGGGTCGTCCTCCTCGTTGAGGGCTACGTGGTGTCTCTGCTTAGGCATCCACGAAGGTCTTGACGTTGTTCAACCACCGCATATACTCGCGCTGCTCCTTGACGTCGACGTAGTCGGGGGCGAAGACAGCCAGGGCCTGGGTGATGCCACGCTCCTCGAGGTAGCGCTCCAGCAGGATCTGCAGGTCCTCGTCGAGGCTGCCGAAGGGGGGGCCGGGGTAGACGTCGGCGCGGCGCTGGGCGTCGGCCGGGGTGGCCGGGTTCGCGAGAGCGGCGTCCTCGTAGTAGAAGAGGTTCTCGACGACAATGGCACCGTCCTGGGCCACGGCGTCGATGTTGAGCGCGCCGGGGCTGCGGCCGGGCTTCTCGACCACGATGGTCAGCCGGGTGGGCGGCGCGGCCTCGTCGTAATCTTGCTCCTCTTCGGCCTCCTCGGCGGGGCTGGCGCCGGATTGCTGCTTGTTGGTGCTGGAGGCGGTGTCGAGGTCATCCTCGTCCTCCAGGGCGCGGTCCTGCTCGTACATCTCCGGGTCGTAGTTGGCGAGGTCGGCAATGGAGAAGACGATGGAGATCCTGTACAAAGGGTGGTGTCGTTAGTATGCGAAATGGGAAACAAAGGGGCGAAGATGGGCGAGGACTAAAGGAAGAAGAAAAAAAGGAAAAAAAAGGAAACAGAGAAAAACTTACTTCTCGTCTCCAAACTTGCGCACGAGCTTCACGTCTTCCTTGCCCGGGACATCCTCAATCTCAAAGGGGCTGTTGTCAAGGAAATCCTTGACGCTGGCCGGGAGCTGCTCGTTCTGCTTGACCTCCTCCTCGAACTGAATCTCACTATCGAGCTTGGCCGATAGCTCTTCGTCCGTCTCGCCGGCGGCAGCGCGACGGAAAACCGAAGTGGAGAAGGCAGAGACACGCTGGACACGGCCAATGCTGTTCAGAGACGACGTCGTCCGGAGCAAGGTCGTGGGCCGGGCGGCGGAAGTTTGCCTAGCGGCAGCGGCAGAGAGGCGGCCAAGCTGGCGCGGCGCGGAACGTGTGAGAGACCTGATGGAGAGCATGGTGGATGGCGTGAAAGAGTTCGGGGATAGACTGGAGTAAAAAAAAACAAAAAAAGGGTGGTATGATGAAGAAAGATTTGGTTGAGGAGCTAAGGAGAACTTGGACCTGGGATGGAGCTTTCAGCAAACACTGCTCCATGTCTGGTAGCTTCCCAATTTTCGATGGAGAGCGGAAAAATGGCGTGCCGCTTCCGATGAATGCACAGACCAGCTGAGCAATTTCGAAGTGCATGCTAGGTACGTACCTTTACTGGTACTCTGTACCTTAGGTACATCTGCACGACATCTCACAGTTCAACCGTCTCGATTAATCGGATGACAGGACGATGAGAATGAGACGAAAGAGTGCCGTCCGTATTACGCCTATCAATAGCTAATCCTTAACGCCTTGGGGTATGCTACGCGTCCCGAATCCCAGAGACATGACTGTGTCGCGAACCAACAAACAAGCTTCTCTTGCGCAGAATCTATCCATCCTTGCCATCAATATTTATTCTCGCCCATTATCTCCTGAACTCCAACCAGTTACTGAACTCCTCCTCCGGAGAATTCTCGGGTGAGAGCCGATAAAAGGTAGAGAACGGGCATGATGCTAGCTTGCGTTTCTGTGGAAAAGAGCTGGGGAGAAGATCATCGCACTCTGAGCCAGCCGATGTGATGCAGAAAGCTGTTCTCTCCCAGTGCCAAACTCCACAATAGTTTGCAAGCCGTGATACTCATGTCGTGATGTAGAAATGCAACAGAGGGTATCTAATTCCCACAGATGTACAGAGAGTGCCGTCAGGACACAAAACGCCGCACAGTTTAGTTAATAAGTGAAGCGAGAGAGATCCAGGGCGGTGGTCCGAGGAGACTCGCATCCGCCGTTGAGGCCCGAGAGCTTAATTTCATCCATGTCGTTCTCGCCGTCACTATCGGGAACCATGTGATCCTCGCTGCCCAGAGGTTTGTTGAGAGCCTCGACTTCATCCAGGTCGACCTTCGGAAGCGGAACGAATGATGGGTTCACTGGAAGCGAGGCCAGGCTCTCCCGCTTGCCTCGCCTCTTAGGACTGGCCTTGGGGGATCTCGCCTTGTGATGAGATGCCGGCTTCCGCTGCAAGGCTCGGAATCCGATGCGCTGCAGAGGTGTGAGAAGCTGATTCTTGGTGGCCGTTGCAGACGAGGATCGAATAGTGGAGTAAGCGAAGGACGATGCCACTGTCGATGGGTCCGAAGTTGACGGTGTGAAGATAGATGACTGCGATGAAGCCGCCGAAGAGGGGGTGTCTTGGACCGAAACAGAACAACCCTTCGAGTAAGCAAATCGCGAAAGCGAGGACGTCAAGGGCGTGGCGCTTGGCGGTTCCGACGTGACCCCGTCTGTCTCGGGGAGTTCCGGCGGGGAAACATTCGAAGGCGAGGCCGGCTCGCCATCCTTGGAAGTCGACTGACTGTCCGTACCATGGGTCTTGCCCGTAGTCTGAGTTGGGGATTCCTCGTAAACGGTGATGGATCGTCGCGACGATGACACATCGTGCCATCTGTCAACATCAGGAAGGCTAAGTAAAGCCTCTTCAATGGAGTCGTCCGAGAAAAGAAGCTCGTCCTTCTTCTCCGCATCTGCAATTCGTTTCTTATGCGTCGAGAAGAACTTGCTCCTCTGTTCCGTCTGCTCGTTGGCATCAGCATCGGCGCACAGTCGGATCTTCTTGGGCGGCCGCTGAGCTGCTCCCATAACGAGCGCATCTATATCAGCGGCCGAGTTGGACTGTGGACCCGTCGTTTGGCGACGACTAGAGGACGTGGTGGCCCCAGTAGCCCGAGCAAGCAGATTGCCGATGGGTTCGCTGCGGCGACGAAGTTGGGGCGCAGTGGAGGCGTCGGCCACATAGGGCCGCTGCTGCGCGGTGGTTGCGGATCTTGGCTCCTCGACGTAAGGTCTAGGGAGAGGGAAAACACGCGGTACGAGACCATTGTGTGTGAGCGCGGCAACTCTTTGTGGGTCGACGGAAAAGCAGTTGGGATCCATCTCTCCCATCGGGATGCGGCGATGGCCCTTGAAATACGAATCGATGGACTTGGTCAGAGTGCCAGGCCCAGGTCGAGCAGTCGCGAGACCGGAGATGACAGAAGGGAATGTGGCGGTTGGGGCTGAAGCTCGGGCGGCGGACTGCGAGTGGCGACGTTTTGACTCGGGCATAGGGGCAGGCGTGATGCGAAGCTTCGTCATAGGATTCACGTCGCCCTCGGCCACGGCTCTTGCAACGGTCGGCTCCACGTACCCCCCGATGAACGGCATATCCTCCACGCCTTGTCCCTCCTGAGGTTCGGTCAGGAACACCAGCTCCTGCTTGATGGGACAAAAGACGCGCTGGTGGAGGAATGTGAGTTCCGCCTTGAAGAACTGAGACAAGTAGTCCTCCGGGATACGGTGCTTGCCCTCGAACTGAAGCATGCGAACGAGGCGTTCCGGAGTCTTGTACTTGCGAATCATCCGATGGGCAGTCTTGAGGCCCATATTGTTAATACCGGCCAGATAGTCGCAACCACTCAGAATTGCCATGCGGCGGAAATCGGCATCGGTCCAGCCCGTCAGGGAAATCTCGCGGCAAGCGCAGAAATCTCGGCGGTTGATCTCAACGCAGTTGCCGTACTGGTCGAGTTTGGTCAAGAGGCGCTTGCAGCCAAAGACCAGCAAGTCCGAGTCCTCGGAGATAATGCCGCCGACGAGACCTTTGCGCTCAAGATAGACGAGCTGAGCATCGGCCTCATAGGGAGCGACGACGTACTGGATCTGCAGTTTCTTGAGCTCATCGATGAGGTTGCGAGCCATCTCTGGGGTGACGTCGATGGCCTTTTGGAATTCGAGGTAGGCCTGAGAAGGCTTTCCGGCCTTGAGAAGTTCCATGCCGAGTTTCTTGCTTTCTTCCCTCCGTTTCGCGCGAGATCCTTCGGTCATGGACTTGCTGGGGAGGAAGTCGCCGTCAAAGACGACATAGGGAGTCACTCCAAAATGACGGAGCATGCGAACCCGGTGCATGGCGAAGTCGACATACCTGCATGGTGTCAGAGAGATGCATAGACTCACAAAAGGGAGTCGAAAAAGAAAGACGAGAGAGCAGTAGTAGCGCGGTCGTGGTCAGCCGCAGGTGAAGAAGACGTACTTGCGAGTTGGTTTGCCTTGTGCAAGCTCCATGGCACATGCCACGGCGCCGCGATGAAGCCATCCATAGGCGTCAACGCCGAGGGTCTCCCCAGCGAATTTCTTGAGTTCGGTTGATTTCTGGATGGATTTGAGAAGTGGAAGAAGCCCTAGAAAAGTCGCCACTGGTAAGTCAACTGAGCCAGCCCAAGGGCGCAGCAAATGAATCTGAACCAAGGACGTCTGCACAAAACGAGTAGCAGTACAGGATGGGATGGGAGAACAGAGTTGTTATGTGTTGAACAAGCTGGATTGAAGGAGAGAAAATGTCACGTGGGAGGCGCGGTTCCTTACCTGTGACGCCCATTGTCGATCAGTTGAAGAGGGAGGCACAATGGCCACGGCCCTCGAGGTTCAATGGGCCGACTTCTTCTCAATGGACTTGCGTCCCTTCGCGCCGATAAGACCCAGCTCAGGACACAATAATCTGAATGATCATTCAAGGATACTTCGGACTCTGAGAGAGAGTACACGGGAGACGGTCCAACGAAGCTTCGAAGGCCTTCTCGGAGCTCGAGGACTGGAGGTAACCGAATGGAAGGTCTGAAGACGCGTACGATTCCGTTTATCAGAAGGAGACGGAAAGGTTTTCAGGTCAGATGTAAATCGAAGGGACTAGTAAAGCAAGAAGAAACCGCAGGGCGAAGTGAAGTGATTGTGAAGAGGCAAGAGCCAGCAGGCGTAAGCTATGTACTCTCGTACATGGTTCGCTCATGTCGTGGAACGCGGCTTGCTCGTCCAAAGCCGCGTCCCATCGCGACATGGGTCATTGGCCCGCTTAGTACGTAGGTGTTTATCGGGAATCGAATTAACCCCTGGCAAGTGGATCCAAACGCGGGAATTATGTTACGTGAGCTTCAGTTCCGGACTGATACAGACCGGTACGGACCGATCGAATCCTAGTCACAGGGGCATGTGGGTCATCAATGACCTAAAATGGGCAAGCGTTGTTGGTTCTCAATTTCCGGGGCAACAAGAACCACTCTATGCTCGGTTTATGAAGCGCACCCCTTGCTCTCGGCTTGTTCCTCGAGCTGCTATTGAAACTTTAAATAAAATTCCACCGTTTTAAAGAAAACCTTATGGATGCTACATACGTTAAAAAACATCGTCTTATTTGTAGCACGAAGTACATGCTTAAGTGAAGTGAAGTTTGTGTGCTTGTGTGTGCTTTGTACCATGTACTCCGATTTATCGGGGCGTGAAACGACTCCACAAGATCTGTGTGCGCCCCGGCCTTGCCTTTTTTTCTCCACCGGGAGGGGCTTCAGTCTATCCTCGAGTTTTTCACTTTTTGGAAGGCGGTGAAAACGTCTCACCCACATCGAGAGACTCACTCATCCTTCTTATCGAACTCGAGAATCGCGACCACCACAAAGACGGCGACAGATTTTCTATTAACCCTTTTTCAGGAAGCCCATAGATCGGTTCGGAACCCCTGTCACTTTTTTTTGGGTAAAACCCCCCCCCCCCCCAGGAAACGAGTCTACCTCAGCCTTCCTCGACACCATGGCCAGGACCCTAGAAAAGACTAGGAAAAAGATTGCGAAGAAGAGAAACGGCGCTGTTGAAGCCCTCCATGAGTTTTCCAGAGACTCCAAGAGACTCCGTCGCGCGACAGTGAGGGACCAGAAGCTTGAAAAGCTTGCTTCGTCACGGAGCAAGAAGGAGCAGCCCCTTCGTATGATCCCCATATCCAGTCGCATGAGACAAGTCGGACTTCTTGAAAGACTGACGAAGCGATTCCCGGTCTTCTAGTCGAACGAGCAACCTACTTTCAGGATGCCCTCAAAGAAAGAGGGACCGTGCCTCTAGATATCTCCACGATTCAGACACTCATAAACGAGTATGTTTTCTTTCTTCAACACGCACCTCGCCCCTTAGTGAACCCTTTTCATGGCCTTTTTCTACGGACGAAGAAAATTAATTGCCCACAGTTTTGTGCACAAGTATGACGAAGAACACGAAGAAGTCAAGAAGACTCGTCGCCCAGGAAGACCCCCCAGCGCGAAACAGGATCTTTTAGAAATGAGGATTAAGGCTCTCCTGGAGGAACAGAAGCAGGGATTCTGTCAGTACTTGCTCAACCTCCAATTGTTTTCTTTTTTTTTTTCCAACCGTGGTCTTTATCGCATCCGGCCTCTTTAAAAGACCACTGACAAGTATTTAGTCGTCCCGGATCTCACGACGGAAGACAACGTTCGGACATTCGACCGCTGGGAAGGGTCCTGGTCATACCTGACCACAGTGTCTTGGGTTCGTGTGGCTGCTGATAAGACCGTTAAGCCTTCGAGCTTCCCACCAGTGTGATGAGACCTACCACCTACGTTTCCCGTGCTGGGCCGACATCCGTCAGATATGGGCCATTCTCGCGGAAGCATCGACCTGTGGCGCGCCGAGCCACGATTCAGCTGCGCCTTTTGCCCACCGATCGAACTGGGGAATTTGGCAGGCCTGGGCGCGCCGGTACCGCATCACAGCGAAGGGCTAGTGCGTTGCTGAAAGTCATCCCTGGTTCCAGCCTGTTGTCGAGTCTAATGGCCTGTCATTTCGCTATGGCCACATACCGAGTACAAACGCCACGCACACGCCAGTTCATAGGCCGACTCGACAAGCACTGACAATACCCTCGACATCCATTGGAGACCGACCTCTCAGCCATGCATATCTCTTCAATATACGAGTCCCGGCGGCGGCGTCAGTTTGGCCACGCTGTCCAGGCTCTCGCCTCGAATTAACGCTGTCCAATAGACTGTTGGCACCCGGTTGTGGGTTAGATCCCATGCGATGACCTTTGATGACATTTAATGGCCTTCCCGGGAAGGAGGAGTTGGATAATCAATTCTGGCCTTGAAAATGCTTATACGAATAGTCTACCTGGTATACCCAATATGCTCTTTCGCCGTTTGTTACTCATAGGACCTGATAACCCTAACTTGAATCACGCTATTATGAGCCCGGAAAAGCTCGACTGAAGTCTCGAAACAACGCATTTCTCAATTGCCTACGGTCGCAAGCCAAAAAGAGAATCCCCCGATTCCAAACAACAGTCCCCATTCCCATCCGACATTCCTCTTCACATACTACCGACACTACCTACCTGCCTATATACCTATATCTACGATTCTACGGTTCGATCGGTCGGTCGGCTTAGTCGTACGCTTACAAATCTACAAAATCTACAGAAAAACCACAAAAGCCTACGATTACGTGAATTAAACGGGTGCACTATTCTTTACGTACGGATACTATAACCACTATAATACAAGGGCTGTTCTAGTTATTAATACTAGGATATCTTTTATTCCTTATAAGTCTTTGGTTCTTTTACCCTAGATTTCTATACCTGTGTGTTTTCCGACCGTGGAATCCTACACAAATATCGTGTTTTCTACGCGACCGTGAATCCCCTCGCTACACGAAGACCCACTTTAGGATCCTCGCGAACAAAGGAATTCAACCGGCCCCACTTTAGATCCGCCGGAATAAAGGATTACTGTCTTTAGAAACAAAGGAATTCTGTTATCCGCACGTACGGGTATCGTTTTCTTTATCTACGAAGCTGTTTTTTCCTCTTTCAGAATAAAGAACTGTATACCGGTTCCACTTTAGACCTGCACGAACAAAGGCATCACTACGGTGACCACGTCTATACTTAGAACAAAGAAAACAATAAAGAAAAGGACTATTTTTTCCTTATTCATAGTATAACTTCGTCAGTTCTTATCCAAAATAAACAAAATAAATACCGTTCAGGAGCTCTGAAGATACCCGTGCAGGCTAAACTCAAGGAAATTAACGTAAAGAAGCTAAAGGGTAGTCAGGACTACTAAACCTAGACGATAGCTATACGTGCTTACTTCGCACGTAAGGGAAAGCTACTAAAAGAGCTTATAAAACCCCTGCCTAAAGATACCTCTAATAAGGCAAAAGAAGAAGATTTAAAGACCACTGGAGATCTACACTCCGCTCTGTAAGACGGGCCCCTAACGCAGGTTCAGGACCTTAATTTTACTTCAGAAATCTAGGAAAAGCTGAAATCCCTATACGAGAAAAAGGGTTTTCAAGCAGACTACGACGTCCTTACGTCGTTTTTCAACCTAAATATCTCAGAATTCCCCACGCTCGAGGACTTTCTATATAAAGTCCAAGAAAGGTTAATTATCCTTCGAGGAAGGGATATTATTCTACTAGATAAGGTGGTTTTTACCTGGACTCTAAACCGCCTCGACGAGCGTTACAACGCAGTTACCTCGCAGATCACGCAGGCTCTTCGGCACGATATCGATAGCTATATATTCGATAAAATCGTTACCAAACTAATAGATACGTCGAGGAAAATCGACTCTTCCACCTCGAAGGCCCTGCTTATAAAAGCTTAGAAAAATCAGAAAAATCAGTCGAACAGCAGCCAACAGCAGAAGAACCAGAAGAACCTCTTCTATAGTAACTATAAAAGATCTGGGTATCTACCGACGAACTGTTTCTTTTTACACCCTAAAAAAGCCCCTACTAGCTAGGTAGTTAAGGGAAATTCAGGATCGGCGAAAAATATCTAAAATCGGGTAAATAAAAATAAAAAGCCTCCGAAGACTAAGACGGCACCGTCAAAGCTATCGTTACGAGAGACGGAAATACTGAATTTCTTCCGTCACTACGAGCAACAGAAGCTCCTAAGGAAAACAAACAACGACAAAACTATTAATTTAGTTTCTGATTTACCCCCTACGGAGGAGCCTTTTTCGGAAGCTAATACCGACGATAAAGCCGAAGAAGAAGAAGAATCAGAAGAAGAAAAAGAAAAAGAAAAAGAAGATCAGGAAGAAGAAGAAGAAGACTCGGATAACGAGGCTCTTCTAGAAGACGTTCCTATTATGACTAAGGCCACACGTCTCCCTAACCCCCACGCGGAAGACCTGATAGATATTAAACAGGTATTTATCCTTTAAAATAAACCCTAAATTAATAAAGATACTAATATAAATATAGGACGGGTAGTGGAAAAGATCAACAGGATTTCAGATAGTTCAACCAAATTGGATTTGAATTTTTGTATTGATAGTGGTGCTACAGCACACGTTATAGTAAATAAAACGCTCTTTTCTACGTATAAAACTACCGAAAGTACTGCTAGTTAGGGTGATACAAATAAAATAAAAATAACAGGTACTAGTGACTGTTGTATTAAATTCAGGGATTCAGGAAGAATAATATTACTTCAGAAATGTTTATATATTCCCGAATTAGGTACAAATATCATTAGCCTTCCCGTCCTAGATAAGAAGAAAATCTACGGCCTTACAGAAAATAACCAGCTTATTCTGTTCTAAAATAACTAAAATAAAACCACCGACGTTTATACTAGAGCTGTTTTATATAAAGGCCTCTACTAGGCTTCGGCACGGGCCTTGACGTACGGGGGGGTAATAGGGTCGTCGTCACAGTCCTCGCAGCCCTATAGTGCTATAAATATAACAGGAACAAAGAAGACCATTCTAGATAAAAGAAAAGGAACAAAGAAATAGATTCCAAGAACAAAGGAACAGTCAGGCACAAAGAATACCGTCTCAGAAAAGACCCACTTAAAGACCCACTCTTCAGGGGCATAAAGGAATATATAGTTCGTAGAACAAAGAAAAGAATAACCGGTAGAACAAAGAAAACCGGTAGAATAAAGAATAGAATAAAGAGACCGAAATAACCGTCGGAAAACAATAAATACCAACGAGAACACAACGCTATGGCACTACAGGATGGGTTATATAAACCCCACTGCTTTAAAATATATAAATAAAGATACTATAAATATATCTAAAGAAGATATACAAGAAATACAGAGCTGTGAAGCCTGTAGAAAAAGCAAGCCAGCCACGCTTATAAATAAAGAATCTATTAATAAATATAAGGATTTTTCCTACCTTAAAAAGGTTTATATGGATCTATACGGGCCTATCGACCCTCTAACGTATAATAGAAAGCGTTGGATTCTTTTTATAATAGACCGTTCCACACGGTATCTATGGGCAAAACTGCTTGTAGATAAATCAGAAATAACTATTATAAACGCAATAAATGAGTGGAAGATTCCCGTTAAAAATAATAAATATAATATAAAAATAAAAGAAGTAGATACCGACGGCGGGAAAGAATTCACGAATGCCTCGTTTAAAAGATTATTCGTCGGAATAAATCATAATATAAAACCCCCGTATACCCACGAGACTTAAGGCTTGATAGAACGGGTTATAAGGACTATAATAGAAAAAGTCCGTTGTTTTCTTTTCCACTTAGGCCTACTAAAATACCTTTGGGGGGATGCGGTGTATTCAGCCGTTTATACGTATCATAGAACACCTAATTCAGTAGTAGGGTTTAAAAACGCCCTACGAATTAGTAGAAAATCGTAAACCTAATATAAATAATATTCGGGTTTAGGGTTCCGTTGTATATTATAAAAATAACGACCCGAAAACAAAGAAACTAGATCCACGAGCACTTCAGAGTGCTTTAGTAGGTTATAACGATTATAACTATAAAATATATAATCCTCGATCTAGGAAGACTACCTGGTATCGTGACGTTTATATTCTAGAAAATCAGTTTCTGACTTTTTCTTTAGATACTATAATTAATAAAAATAACCCTGTAACCTATATAAATAATAATAATAAGTCTCCTACTATAAATATACCGCAGGCAGAACCGGTTTCCGACCCCGAGTCTTATCTACTCGGCGAGTACTATAATAATACTAAACGTACGTTTAGGTCTATCCAAACCGAAGAAGAAGATAAGGATAAAGATAATAATAATAAAAGACGAAAGGGTCTTCGAGTAGCGGGCGGTATTATTCCAGCCGAGAATAATAAGAAGGATCATATAACCGACCCGGTTAATAACGGCCTTAAATCCAGGTTAGAAATTTAAATCCCTTCTAAATCTTCGAAGGAAAACTATAACGATTATATATCGTATGATAATAATAAGCGCTTATAATATATAACTGAAGATACTATACTCGGGAACCTACAGTTTCAAGAAGATCCCCACTTTCTTTTAACTGTAAATTCTTTATACGAACTAGCTATATATAAACAGGCCATAAACTGCTCTGATAAAGATAAGTAGATAGAAGCTATGGTAGCTGAAATAACAGAACTTGAATATAGAAACACCTAGGACTTAATAAGTATAAAAGATACGCCTTAATATAAAAATAATAATAATAATAATAATAATAATAATAATAATAATAATAATAATAATAATAATAATAATAATAATAATAATAATAATAATAATAATAATAA